CTATGTATGAAGAGTGTGATTCTCATGGTGAGAATTAGTATTAATACTGTAAAACTTTCCTTGTAATTAAAACTTAAAAGTATTTATGTTGCTTGGGACCTATGCTAAACCGAGCTTTTACTTAGGAGTCTTCATCTTTTTGTTATCTTGGCTACAAAAAACCATTCTGGAACATGCAGCCTCGTGCTTGAAGAATTCTGTGTGACTCCAGTCTCCATAGCTGTCTGCAGTATGTCTCTGATTAATTCTGTGTATGGGCACAGTTTTAGTTGAAATGTGCTTTGCCCCCATTAATTTAAACACGGTGGCATTACTAGATGCCCATGGGATGCTTCCTGGCCCGTACTGTTCCTGGGAAGGAGTGAAGGAATAGTGGCTGTTTACAGAGCTTAGTTTACGTGGTTGGCATGACTCCACAGAGTATGGATAAAGGGGCATGGGACAAATAGATGGTTGTATATAACAGATGGGGATAGTTTGCCTGCTGGAAGAAACTGCAGCTTGTATATTTGAAGGAAGATCATCTGTAGTAAATAAATATTTTCTCAGGTAAAGAAGGTTATCTTTGGGCAAGGGGACGAATTTGACGCATACAGCTTTTGTGCTTGGATTAACCTGATATTTAACAGGTTATACAGCTCAGATTACTTAATCTGTGTTACTTTATCAAGCATAAACAATCACTAGAGGAGGACAATTTGGGTTTTTTCTTTGCTTCAGAGAGATTTGCATATAAATTTAAGGTATACCTTGTATAATGTTAAAAACCCTAGAGTGGTATACAACTAGAAAGGGTGAAATCTCTTTATTGTACACTCAAGTTCTGCTGAATAGAATTTACGCATTCTGTCAAAAACAGTTTACAGGTGGTAAAGTCATGGACTTGAGTCAGAATACAGTTTCCTCATCACCTAAAATAATGCTGACAGTGTCTTATGTTGAGAAGGATGGATCCATTCCTGCTGCTACTTTTGTGGAGGCACTTGTGTTCATGCACTTGCCCTGTGATTATATGGTTCCTAACTTGTTAGCTAAAACCTGAGAATATGCAGGAGGGCATGAGGGAAGTGCCAGGAGGAGGAAAGCAATGGCATTGAAAAAGGAAGTAAAAGACATCTACTTTTAGTGGCAGCCAGGACTTCTGCTAGAGCAACTTAAATTACACTGGGAATTGTTAAAAATAAATGTAATTTAAGTGTTTAAAAAGCCAGTGTTCCCTATATCTTATCTTCTTTCATGTCTGTTGTGGACCCTTAAGTTAGCTAGCACAGTTAGGTAAGTTCTAATTCACCTGCACCCCTCCTTTTGACCTGAGTCATAGGAGAGTTGCAGGAGCTTCAGCAGCAGTATTGACTTACGGAGTTTTCAGTTGTCCTTTCCCTGCCTCTCTCCTTTTGTGCCAGAGAAACTTTATATGTGACCGTTCTAGAACTAGATTTCAGATCCATTTAAACTGATCGAATTTAAATTGCCTATTTCTAAAAACATACAGTCAGCAGGTTTTCTGTGTTTATAAATTGGCCCTGCAAACATTTGTCCAAACAACTCTTAGAAGGCAAAGTGCTGCAGAACAAGAAGGAAGGACAATGCTTAAATACCATTGCCATGGAAGCTGAATGATACTGGCCATGACATGGTTTGTTACAGCAGTATATTCTGGTCATACCTTCAAAGATACAGCCCTGCAGTTTAAGAAATGGTCCTTAAGGAAAGGGGAGTAAGTAATGTAAACTTGGAGGTGCAGTGCTGGAAGAAAACATTAATGAAACCTTACCTGTGTGGTTTGGCAAACTGCTGACCATACAGATGCTGTGAGATTATCTGATAGAGATCTTGGTGGTTTGTAATAGTTTTGTCTCTAGCTTTACAATAAGTATTCAGCAGCAGTATTTGCTTGAAGCATTTGTGATTTTGTGGTGAGGAAGTGGAGCCTTCAGTGGATGCTTAGAACCATCCTTACCTTTTAAAGATTAGACTGTCAGTTCTTCATAGCTTGTTGTGTAGCAAATGATTGGCAGGTATAAACCACTACCTCCTGGAGAGATTACCACCTGTGATCCAGCAGACTGGAGTAGCAACAAAGAAGCAGGAAGTATCTGCTATTATCCAGTTACACTACATGAAATTTCCACTGGTATTTTTACTTCTGCTTTTGAGGAGGCAGGCAGACTGGCCGCTGCTTATCTTATATCATGCCCTTCTGCTCTGGTCTGTTGGGGTGATGTTTCAGAGCCCAAGTGTTTGCACATGGTAAGGTGTTTTGCTGAATAACATTTGCATGACAGCTGCTGCTGTTTCAGACTCTGGTTGAGTATTGTGTTCACTAATTTACACCAATCTTGAAGATTTCTTCTTTTTGTTCTCTGTATAGGAAGCTGCAGGCAAGATCTTGAGCTGAAGCTGGCATTGATGTAGGATTGTACTTTGGTTTTGAGCAGCATCATAGTTAATATTTGTCTCTGAACACATTCAAGACCTCATGGGTGTTTCTCGGTTCTCTGAGAATACATCTTGCACTACTTTCAAAGTATAGTTTTCTCAATAACCGTGTAATTGGCGTTTCTGAATAGTTAGCTAACCAAGGATTGGGAAATGGGTACTCTACCGTTTTGAAATCCCTGAAGAGGCAAGTGAACAGTGGAAACTTCCTAAAGCAGGCTTTCATTAGAGATGTTTCCTAATAAAGTTTCAGAATGAGAGTGTAAAAGTAGTTGCTTCTGAAGCATTGCTAAAAACATTCTTCTTAAGTGTCAGTTTCTTCCTACTGTAAGAATTTCATGTTTCTAAATAGAAGCCTTTGTACCTACTCTCTTTTCCCTATAGCCTGTTTCTGTAGAATTATTCCCAAGCTGCTGTGCACTCTGCAGCCCCACATCTTGTCTGTGGTTCTAGCTTGGGGTTTGTTTAGATGCTGAGAGAGGGGGGGAACCAATCCTTTATCAAAAGATAACAGTTGTAATTTTTGACTACAGCTTAACATGGATTGCCTTCATAGACTTTATGCTGGTTGTGATGGGAAAGAAGTTAAAATAAAACCTAAGCAAACCTTCCCTGAAAAAGAAGGCATGACAAATATTCATGAAATCTCTGTCACTTCTGTGATGTTGTCAGTAATATGGCAGCATTGCAAAACACTGAACTTAGGTCAGTTTGGTGTAGGCATAAAAAATTACGTGTCTTTCTCTTGCCTGAGGTAATAAACTGTTTTCTTGTCCACTACAGACATGAAATAGCTTAAACTGCAGCAAGAAAATAAATTCCAAGTAGATGTTAGGCAAATTTTCCAGCAGTGATGATAATTAAGCATTTAAGTAGATTGCTTGGAGGGCGTTAAAGTTTCCATCACTGGATGCCTTTACCAGATTAAATAGCTTTCAGGGATGTTGTAGGTATGCTGTTTGTGGGCCTGGATTAAATGAAGTCACTTCTAATTTTAGTTTTAATTATGATTTTTAATTAGGTTGGGTCATGACAAAGTTGGCTGAGGAAAAAGCTGGGATGGGCTAGCTAAATGGTCTGTTGACTCAAATCAACTCTACCATTTTTATAATTTAAAAATCTAATGATTCAGGCTGCCAATTTCAGAGAGTATTATTAGCTTTTTAAAAGGAGTTGTAAACACAGATGTCAGTTCGAGAAAGATGAATTCTAGTAACTTTGAAATACTGTGGAATTGCAATGTGCAGTTTGTACTGTAGAGCTATTACTGTTTTGGCAAAGCTGGGATCTAAGACCTATCTATGTATTAAAGTCAGGTAAACATTTTATGTCCAAATTTTTAAGTGATAATTTTTCAGAGATAGTATCTCATGTTAGTTTGCCATTGTGTTGTGCTGTAAGGATACCGTTGCCTCTTTGCTAGCTGCTAGATCAACTCATTTCTAAATTTGTTAGATCCAGATGGCTGACTATCTTAAGGACATGCTTCACAGGCTCAGATGTTTTGAGGTCTGCAGAGTCCCACACAAGGTGGGCAAGGTAGCCTAGATACTAGTTGTAGAAGCTGCCGACATCTGTCCTTTAAGCCAAATTGTCTTTTCTGGTATTCAAACTAGCGGGCTAGCTCTGGAGACAATGTGGCAGGGAGCACAGTAAGATAAAAATATTACTACTATTACTACTACTAATAAAACCACCAAAAAAACCCACAAAAAAAACCAACCCAAACCAGAACCAAAATTAACAAATCGTAGTTGCAGCTTGTGAGATACTGTAGTTCTGTGATGGAAAATAATGTATCAAACCCTTATTTTCCTTTCTGTTGTTTGTCAGGCAGCCCATAGTGGCAGACCCTCTGTGTGTGATGGTCTCAGATGCTCTCCTCAGAGGTCTTACTGAAACTGCAGTGTTTTCCATCTCACTGTATTGCTGTGATATAACTTCATATTTTAGTTATTGATGTCTTCCATTTAATCTTTTAGATTCACTTCTTCAATGTCAGTTTATTGCTAGTTTAGTTGCAGGTGGTGTTTACATGGTCTATAAACTAAAAAGCCTCCAGGAGCGAAATAACCACTTTCTTCCTATCATTACCTGACAATTCATCTTGCTTTATCAGTAGATAATAATTTTCTGTCAAGATGAGACACTAATCCCATAACAGTAATTTGAGTTGATAATTTAATTTTGTGTACCAGGATTTTCTCATCAAAGAGAATGTTAATGCCTCAAGCTCTAAACCATTGAAAATATGCATAGGGCAGGGAATACCATAGGAGTGTGTGGGAGGGTAGAACTTTGCAAAGTACTGGAAGGTAACAGGTGGGTTAACATGAAACAAAGACATCCATGTCCTTTTTTGTTTGAACCAGTGGTGTAAAATGGAACATGGTCAGCACTTCCAGGCCAAAGTGTGCTAAATAGTTTGTGCAGCCTTGGACAATCTTTGAACACAACAAGAATGAATTGTAATCAACTTTGTAAAAGTGCTAGAGAGTGAGCTGCACTCATACCTTCTGTCCAGAGAGCTAGTGTAAAATTAAGGTGAAATCTGTTACCAGGCATTTCAGTGAAGACACCAACTTTACTGGCTCCAGGTTTCCAAGGGTGTGAAACACTGGAAGACATGAGTTGTCTTCATGAATACATATCATGCCAACAGTGTATTCCTTAGACTAGTATTGTATGTTGCCCATTATGCAGTGCCTTTTCCAGTTAGCAATATGCCTCAATATCTTGTTTTTAATTTAGGCTGACACTTAAGTGCAATATGAGAGGTTTTAAGAGTCAAAATTTCACATCTGTAATTCTGTTATTTGTATTCTCTATTGTACACCAAATTCTTACGAATTTTACCCTAAAAAAAAAATCACAGCAGACTTCTTATATTTGTTACTGTCACTTGGCATTAGGTGCTATTGTTTTGTGAATTACTGGATTTGTATTTCGCTTGATCAGAATGATTTTGACTACTGTGGGATAATATCCATATTACTGATAGTGAAAAGCAGTATAAATCCCATAAATCTTCTAAGATATTCTTGTGCTTTTTTGTGATTGGAGATTAGAATTTGAAAATATGTAAGCTTGAATGTGTGAACAAACTGAGATGGAAGAAATTTTTAGGTCTAGAAGTCTTGTAACACTTCTATAATTTTGGGAGTGGGGTGCTAAAATAGGTTGAAGATTTTAATTGGTACATCATGAAAGATTACTAACTGGTATGCAGAGAGTTGTGGTTTGTGACCCCCCAGCACTTCCCCCCCCACCCGTCCCCATTCCCGCCAGGTGTGTAATGGGCATACTCCTAAATTGCTATTACTCCATCAAAAATATCCTCATCTGTCTTTGGGGCACTGATTTTAATACAGAAAATTGAGTGTCGCTTGCTTTCTAACGCATCTTTCAACAAATTGCATATTAATGTTCATGCTAATGAAACAAGAGAGTATTAAGTGGTATAATTTGAAAGTAAAGGAAACTGTCTGCTGAGAGGCATGTCTGAGATAGCTCCTGTTTTTCAAACAGGGATGCTTTTACAGATAATGCCAAGTAACACCACTGCTGTACTACCCTGCCACGGTGCTGCTTACAAATGTGTTCTAGAGGCCTGTAAACAATCCATATTTATCAGAGCAGATTTGATGTGTGATGTCAAAACTTCACTTAGCTCAGTGCCTGGGCTGTTTATGACAGTAGCCAATAGTATCTACCGAAGAGGCTAGAATGGAGCAAATACATAGGGTGGTCCATCTCTTGGAACAGTATCTCAGCTTCAGCCAAGTTTCTTTTGAGAAAAAGACTGAGCTTACATAATATAGTAATTACGAAGTTATCCTGTATGTTGTCAGACCCAACATGCAAGTATTGGGGGGTGAAATGACGGTGTCATGTGTTGTCCCCTGCCCCAGAAGTCTAGAGTAGTCAAAAAATACAGAATTGTATTTATGTATCAAATGTCCTTTTCATGTCAGTGATACCACAGTGAGATAGTATTTTTGTTTTCTTGCACATCTCTCCACCTTTCTATTATGTATAAGAATATGTACATTTCTTTTGTAGCCACGTCATGAATACTTTAATGTCCCAGTGTACTAAATGGCTTCATTCATCATGCATGCAGAATTTCAGAGGAGATAGACCTGTGACTTACTCATGACAGGACATTATCATCAGCTTGGTGAATCCAGTCATCGTGAATCTAACAGAATGCCGCAACCATTCTCTGCTGTTGTACTTTCCTCTTCCCCTTCTGTTTTACAGTGTTGTCTCTTCACATGTCTCCTTTCAACAGAACTTGTGCTTGCTGGCATATGGTTTTAACTTTTTTTTGTGTGTAAGCTTGAAGTCTTATGCTTAAAAGTTCTGTAGAATTTTCCGAGCTAAATAGCTATATACTGCAACATTACTTGACCTGTGTTTATCTTGCAAATAAGTTGTGGTGGTATTTAAAAATACTTAAAACCTGTAGATGAAGTTAATATTTACAGAGAAACTAATGAAGTAGTAGTATGCAAGCTGTATACACACAAATGTTAAATGATGTCACACAGTTCTACACAGACCTTGCATCTTAATTAAAGGTGCACACAGCAATATATTTAATGAGACCTCCTTATAAAGAGGAGGAAGGCAGAACTGATATGGGCAAAAAGAATGACAGGTAAATCTGAAGTTGCAAAATTTGTATTTAATTGTTCAAATGCTCTTGTGAATAGTTGAACAATTGCTGCTACTGAAGGAGAGAACAAGCTCATTGCTTCACAAATGGCTAGGGTTAGAAAGATTATTTTTTTTAAGTCCATTTACAGCATACTTGAAAAATGTCATCTTCAATTGGCATTTCCAGTTTTAAGTACAGACTACCTTGTATATCAGAGAACTGCCACAAGGATGAATATAAGTGCCATTCATTTAAAAAGTAAGGGCAGAGAGAGAGGGCATGTATTGCATCCTCTGTTTGCCTAGAAGAGGAGAATAATTCGTAAGCTCAAACGAGTGCTGGTTTTGAAAATTGTTTAAATTTAATTATCAAGAAATTGATTACTGAGATTAACCACATTCTAGTTGCATGTACTATATGTGGTAATGCACTACCTTTTAAATGTTAAACTGACAGAGAAATGGGAGATTTAGGGGATTAGACAAAAGATCTGGATTGGACTTTCAGCATTCTGAAGTCTTAGAAAACAAGATCACAGGAGTGGCTTTCCACTTCAAAGTTTGCCTTTTTTCTGTAAGACATTAACAATGTGTTTGAATGTCTGGTTAATGCTGCTTTAGCCTGCATTATTTCATGCCTGTTGGCTTAAAATGCTGTGCATTGAGCTGTAATGAGATGCTGTTTTTCTTGTTATCTGTATACAGCTGCTTGCTTCTAAATGACTAGGTAATGAATTAGCTTTCCTGGCATGTTTGAAATAAAGTATTGCATGCACTTTTGTCTCATGTGAATGACTTTTTTCCTCATCTGTGTTCTGATATATTTCAAATTTTCATTGTTTGCCTGGGGTGATTCTGAGCTGCAGGTAGTGTATAATGCTACAGAATACTTTCCATAACAATTGGCTAAAATGTTTGACACTTCCTAAAAAAAAATAACATGAACAAAACATAATTCATCCTACTTGTTTCTTAAAAGTCATAATTGATGAAATAATTCCTCTAACAAAACACATTAGCCTTTAGGTGTTCCTTGAGATTGTACTGTTGCTGTGTGAATAAGAAGGCATGTCTGCCTCAAGGTTACTGCTGTAGTATTAAAAAAGTTAAAATCTTACTGAGTTTTAGGGTGAGAGACCTGTGGGGAAGTAGCCAGTGTACTTGAAATACATTATTTTAAGTTCACTGTTAGCCAATTACCTTGATATTCTTGAAGAAATTTAATCTTTACGTATATGCCTGCTGAAAATTACCCACAACTCTGAATTGGCAGTGGAGACAATAATACTGGGCTGCTCTAAAGACAGTAGCAGCAGTGCAGTTTCTTCATAGCTATGGAGCAACTCCTCAGGTCATTTAGTAAATACTGTGTCTTACCACTGAGTAACTGTAAGTATCCACTGCTGTCTGATCAATTTAAAATTGTGGAGTTGTTTTAGTACAAATGTTTGCAAGACCCTGAAATGCCTGAAAAGTTACACTTTGTCACTTCTGTTGCTATAGCTAATGTAGGATTTTGGGTTGTTTTGGTTTTTTTTTTTTTTTTGAGTAAAATGTTTTAAGTTGGTAGATAGGGGAGATGCATGTCCTCTAAAACGAATGCAACAGAGTAATCTGGTAATAGAATACGACAGGTTATATTAAAAACGCTACGAAGCCTTTTCTTCAATCAGTATCTCTTTTGGGGTATTTGTGTTAAAATACACATGTAAATCATTAATCTTGCCATTCTCTCTGGCTTTGTCAAGGTCACTGCAGCTCTAAGAATATTTAAATATTGCATCAGTGAGGAAAAACCACAACATCGTTAATATAACATACAAGTATCTTGTTTCCAATTTTAACTTCTGTTTTTTCTTGCCATTTCTTACTTGCTGCTGGCTTTTGGAAGCCATCTCAAAGTGTTCAGAGGTGGCCTGTTCCCGGCACTGACTGAATTTTAAATGAAGTTGCCTTTAAAATATGGCTTGTTCTTTCAATTCTAAAATCGCCTTATACATGAACGAATGAGGATTGTGAACTTGATCATTTTGTGCTACATACAGTCAGGGTTGATAAAGACGATGTTTTGATGTTACTTGCAAGATCTAAGACGTTTAATTATATATTTTGCTGACAGTGTTTTTCTAATATTTAGAAAGCAGTTGAAAAATAATTTGCTGCCTTAACTGTTATCTGCCTTTTTTTTCTGCTTCATGACATGTCTTGGTTTAGGATGCTAAAGTAAGTTTATTCAGTCTGTGGATACTAAACCTGTTTGTTTCCATAGGGGCACAGTATCCCTTTTTGATATTGTTAATAATTATGGAAAAGCACAGCCTAAATATTTCTGATTAAACTACTATTTCTTTTCAGATGCTATAGGAATAATGACTACAACACTGATGATAACCCTTTGCAATGTTGTATTAAACAACTTGCTCTGCATCTAAACAAAGCTATTTAAGATTAGAATTAATTTAAAACTTCATGCTTGGTGTGGAATAATACCATTCCAGTCCTGGCAATTACTCCACTTCTGCAGGGGTCAATTTTTGGACACCAGCTGTACCAAGTACTTTGTCCTGGTTTTATGAACTATGTATAGGAACAGTGTGGAAAAAAAAATAAAAACCTGATCTCCTATGAAGAGCTTAAGGGATACTGTGTCTTAGTTGCATCAGTCATTTCATTCATCTATTTATTCATTGTTCCCTAACAGATTTTTGAGACCCATGAAACAATTCATCACAAAAATCATTGACTCCATTGCAAGATGCTTCCCCATCTGTCCCCATTTCATGTCTTTGTTACTGGCTTGTGATTTGTTCCCTACTGGTACATCTGAATTTCTTTAGTTTTATTGCAGTTAAGGGCAATAAAATCTACCAGCGATTTCTGTGAGCCCTGGCAATCTAATTATCAGTACTTAGAAAATTGCAGCTAATCCTGTGTTTGCAAACTGCAATACTTCTTTATTTTCATGCCTTTCAGCTTTTCTTCTTTTAATTACGCATTTTTCATACTAACTCAACTCATGTATGGTACTGTTAACAGAAGTGCAGGGTCCATTTACCACTGTCTCCTATTTTCCCTCCATAGGAAGCAGAGACCCCACGTAGTGTACTTGAAGAAATTGGATTGACATAAATCTTCACTTCAGCTGATGACATATTAATGTTTCATACTGTAAATGTTCACTGCCTTCATTGTAATGTTTAGCTAATGGTGTAAGATGCTGTTTGTCAGTATTACTGTTTTGCTAAGCTGCTTCATTCGGGCCTACACGAAAAACACTCCTTTTTGAAAAGGGAGTAAGAAATTAAAAGTCCAGAAATCGTAAATGAAAGGGAATTACATTAAAATTGACTCAGTGTCTCATGTCGCTGCATTTATAACAAAATTGCATTTGACTTCAGTAAGTGTACTGTTTTTTATAAGCAAACTTGACTTCAGGAAATAAGTGTATCATTATGACATATCTAAATGAAAAGAAACTATGAAATGTTATGGTGTAGAAATTGTGTTTATGCAACCAAAGACTTTGTTCATCTACATTTCAGTCACCAATTGTGATAATTCTGCTTATTTCAGTTGATGCATAAAGCTTGGAAATGCTGGTTTATTACTGAATTTGTCATTATACCAAAGAATCCTGTTAGGATCTGCATATCTCACTGGTAAAAACTGTTAAGGTGATACAGCTTTTGCAAGAAAACTGCAAACTGCTTAACTCACTAGGCAGGAAATGTAGCTACTCTGAGCAAAACTGTGCACGTTCCTAAGCTAAAAAGGGAATGTGTGAATTTAAAAAAAAAAAAAAGAAAAAAGGAAACTTTTTAAACTTAAAAACCTCTGCACATAAACACTAAAAAGGAGGTAGGCTTTCAGACTGTATAGAGGTGCATAATGAAAATTAGATAATTTTGAAGATGGGGAAGAGGGAGCTTTATAAAAATGACTTTTCATTGTTTTCTTTCATACTCTACAAATTAACTTGTATTTATTGGTGGTTTATATTTATGCTTTAATGGGTATATAGGTACCTTAAAAAAAACCCAAATCCCACAGTAAAGGTCAATGTCATTTTAACTGCTTTTCTTAACTTACACCTTTAACTGTGACACATCCCTTACAACACTCCTGTGTGACATACAGTTGAACCAACTAATTTGTAGTTAAGAGCTTTTAAATATTAGATTTGTACAGTAGATTCACTGCAACTTACGTCAAATGATAGCAAGTAATATTTTGACACTTGGAGCAGCCAAGCAGTAGTTATAAATGAAACCTCTTTCACTTGCTTGAGGGAATCAGATTCATGTATACTTTTGAGGTCATGCATCATGCTTTAGACTAGCCAAATTCTGCTGTGCATCTGCATGGTCTCTGAGGAGGCGGAGCTGCTTCCCTCTCTTCCTCCCTCCCCAGTAACTTCACTCTAAGAGTCTACATTTTGGCTTGTTTGCTTGAGTCAGTAGTGCCACGTTTTCACAAACCTTAGCTTTGGCGCTGTTGCTGGAAGCAGTCATGCGCTGCTAGTATAAGCATTTACATAGCCATCTGGAGAGCCAGACTGGCAGCTTGATGCCGTCTAGGTTAAATTTAACCCACTGGGACTGACTTAGTGTTGCCACAGCCACCCCTGATACAGATCCCAGTATAAATAAATGCATGGGGCAGCAGAAGGGCAGTGCCAGGGTGGAGCGTATGAACTCACAGTGGTGGAATTTGTCTCCTTCGGCCCTTTCTGGGATTTAAACATATGAATTGCTGGAGACTGTTTCTGTTCTAGGGCACACCAAGGCAGTGGTTTGCATTTCCCCAGTGCATGACCTGCAGGGGTAGGCAAGGGGAAGGTGGTAGCAGAATGACCCTTGTGTGAGCTTGAAGCGTTAAAATTACCTTAAATCAAATCTGAAGCGATTTTGTATGTATTAAACATGTTTTTAACGTTTACACTGTCACTTGTATGTGCTTGGCTGGATTAAGCTTTGTTGTGGTTGTGACAAACTGTTTGACCTCTGTCTGTCATATTGGTTTAGTTGTAATAAATGTCCATTTTTACACCATTACCATGTGTTTATATGTCATCAGTTCTGGTATTTGCAAAGAAGAGGCTACTCGGTGCTAGCTTAGAAAAAGGGAAATTTTATTACAGTGCTTAACCTGTTCTTGAGCACTTTATTAAAAAAATGTGAGAGTATACTGTGTCCAAGATCAGTTATTTACATCCATTTGAAGTGTACAGAAAGCAGTAAATTGGCAAGTTTCTGGAAGGCTTACCACATTAAACATGGAATTTATTAAAGTGGATGCGTAGTGCCATTTCATCTGCAAATTGAAACAAACCACGTTGAGAAAGGGTTCTGGATAAGACAGACCGAATAGTCATATCCTTACATGGAACTATGAGCAAGTCATTGCAACAGCCACAGTCCTGGTCTCGACCAAAAGTCTCTCAGATCAGTCTGTTCTCCACCTTTCTGAAAGAACTGAACTGATTGATGTTATCAGAAGCATGGGGAAAACTTCATAAGCCACAACACCATCTTAGGGCCTTTCTTTAGCATGAAATGTTTGTTTCTTAAATTTCATGTTTTACAGGGAATAGGTTGGGGGAAGCTCAAGCATTAATTAGACTTTCTGGATTGTTTAGGCAAGTTGACTGTTGGCTTGAGTGTCTTCAACTTCACTGAATCTTAGTCTTTAACTGAAAGAGCCCTTCCTAAACATGTGCTGTTCCTTTGGGGTTAATGCCATGATGATGATGGTGGCCCTGTGTCTGTGTTTGGA